TATTTCCTTCATTTTCTTTTTCTTTCACTTATTTCTGTTGTAATTTGTGTGTGTATAAATTTTATTTTAATGTTTATTTTCGAGAGAGCGAGCACAAGCGGGGGAGGGGCAGAGGGAGAGGGGGACAGAGCAGAAGGTCTGAATCAGGTTCTGTGCTGAAAGTGAGCATGATGTGGGGCTCAAACTCCTGAATTGTTGAGCTCGTGCCCGGAGCTGACGTCGGATGCTCAACTGACTGAGCCACCTAGGCGCCCCGTTTCTGTTGTAATTTTTCTTTTCTTCATGTGTTTAGTTTTCTTTTTCTAGTTTAAGTTGGAAGGTGAGGTTATAGATCTTAGATTTTTTAAAATATGGAAGTTTATAGCCATAAATTTCCCTCTAAGCACCGCTTTCACTGTGCCTCATAAGTTCTCTACGTTCCTTTTTCATTTTCACTCATTGCAGAGTGTTTTCTAGTTCTGCAATTTCTTCTTTGTTTAGCATGTGAACATTTGTTAGTGTGTTGTTTAATTTCCACATATTTGTGAATTTCCCATATTTCCTTCTTTTATCAATTTATGATTTCACTCCACTGTGGTCAGAGAACATACTGTGTATAATTTTGGTTCTCTTTGGTTCTTATGAATTTATTGAGATTTGTTTTATAGTCTGGATTCTCTGTCCCAGAGAGTGCTCTGTTGCACTTGAGAACAGCGCTCAAATTGTTGTCGAGTAGAATGTTCCATGAATGTGTCTTATGTCTAGTTGGTTTATAGTGTTCGGTTCTTCTATTTTCTTGTTGATAGGTATTCTGCTTATTCTATCCTTTATTTATCCGATAGTGGATATTGGAGTCTGATTGTCCATTTCTTCCTTCAGTTTTTTCACATTTTGCTTCTTGTATTTGGGGGCTTTGTTGTTAGGAATATATGTTTATGATTGTTAGTTTTTTGTGATGGGTTGACCCTCCTTATAAAAATATCCTTTGTCTGTACTAACCACTTTTGTCTTAAAATTTATCCTGTGGTATTGGTAGATGCACTCCAGATTTCTTTCAGGTATTGTTTGCAAGTTACGTTTTTTTCCATCCTTTTACTGTTTGTGCATGTGAACCTAAAGTAAGTATGTCTTGAGGCACCTGGCTGTCTCAGTTAGGTGTCTGACTCTTGATCCGGCACAGGTCTTGATCTCAGGGTTGTGAGTTCAAGCTCCACACTGAGAGTGAAGCCTAGTTAAAAAAAAAAGTATGCAGCTATCTTGTAGACAGCATATCCTTAGATCATGTTTATTTGTACTGCCAATCTCTTTTGATTGGAGTGCCTAGTTCATTGCCATTTAATATAATTAGTGATAAGGAAGCATTTATATCTCCCATTTTGTTATTTGTTTTCTGTATGTGTTATGTCTTTTTTGTTCCTCTTTCCCTTCATTACTGCCTCCTTTTGTGTTTAGATAGACTGTTTTCTAGCATATTTTAATTTCTTGTTTCTTTTGCTATGCTTTTTAAAGTTTTTTTTTTTCTTGATGATTGCCTGGGGATTACAACTGACCTCTTAAAACAATCTAGTTTGTATTAATGCCAATCGCATTTCAGTAGTATAGCAAAACTGCCACAATATAACTTCCTTCTCTCTCATTTCTTTGTACTATTATTTCATACAAATTGTGTCTTTATTGTTAAAAGCCTTTCAACACAACTTTATACTTTAGGTGGTTGTCTTTTTAATTAGATAGAAAAAAGTGTTGCAAGTAAAAATATACTGTCTTTTATATTTACCCTTGTAATGACCTTTACCGATTTACGTTCTTTCTTTATGCAGATTGAATTACTGTCTGGTGTCCTTGTAGTTTAGCCTAAGGGACTCCCTTTAAGTATTTCTTGTAGGACAAGTCTAATAGTATTGAGTTATCTTATTTTTGTTTACCTTGGAATAATTTTTATTTTGGGGGGATAGTTTCACTAGATACAGTTACTGGTTGGCAGTCTCTTCCTTTGGCACTTTGAATATGCCCGCCTGCTGCTTTCTGACCTCCCTAGTTTCTAATGAGAAGAACACACAATGTGTGTTTCTTTTCTTGCTTTCACCCTACTGTCTTTAGTTCTCAACAGTTTGGCTATGATGTGTCTAGGGGTGAATCTCTTTGAGTTTATCCTTCATGGGGTCCCGTGAGCCGCTTTAGTGTGTGGATCAATGTTTTTCATCATATTTGGGAAGTTTTTAGACATTATTTCTTCAGATGTTCCTTCCACCCTTTTCTCTTTCCCTTATGGAACTCCGATAATGCCTGTGTTGGTCCACTTGGATGGTATCCAGTAGGTCTCTGAGCTTCTGTTAATTTTGTTCATTTTGGGAGGGAGTCTTTTTTTGTTTGTTTTTTCTTAGACTGGATAGTCTTTCTTTTTCCTTCTAAGTTTATTCCGAGAGAGAGAGAGAGAGAGAGAAGAACACTGATGAGGGGCAGAGAGAGAAGCGGACAGAGGAATCGAAGCAGGCTCTGTGCTGACGACAGAGAGTCCAACGCGGGGCTTGAACTCCTGAACCACGAGATCATGACCTGAGCCAAAGTTGCATGCCCAACCGACTCAGCCACCCTGGCACCCCTAGACTGGATAATCTTAATTGACCTTGAGTTTGCTGATTATTCTGTTAGTTCAAATCTATTGAGCCCCTCTAATGAATTTTTCATTTCAGTTACTATGCTTTTCAACTTTAAAACTTGTGGGGCTTTTTAAAAGTTTCTTTATCAATATTTTCTACTTGGTGAAACATTTGCTCATAACTTTTATTTTCCTAGACGTGCTTTCCTCTAGTGTTTTAAACGTATTTATAATAGCTGACTTACAGTCTTTGTAAGAAGTCCAAAGTCGACCTCCTCAGGGGCCGTTTCTGTTGGCTGCTTTTCCTTCCTACACATGGTTCATTCTTTACTCTTTCTTTGCATGTCTCCACATTTTGTGTTTAAAAACTGGACTTTTAAAATGTGACAACTCTGCAAATCAGATTCTCTCTTTTCCCGAGAGTTAGTTGTTGCTGTCATTGCCTCTGTTTGTTTTTTACTGACCGTTGTGGACGAAGACTCCAGTTGCTGTATTTTGTCATGTGTGACCACTGAACTCTCTGCTCATTTAGCAGAATGGTTTGTTAGTGATCGGACAGAGGTTTCCTTAAATATGTGATGAATCTCCCACCTTTTGCCGAATTGCTGTCTGCACGCTCGAAGTTGGGATGCGCGTTCATTGTGCCAGCGGCTCATACCTCTGTTTTAGCCCCCATGCCGCTTGTAGAAAGCTTCGGGTTTAGCCAGAGGGAGAGATGAGGGCCTTCTGAGGCCTTTTCTGGGCGCACACACAGTCCTGCACAGGTGCCTGACCCTGAGTCGCAGAGATCTATCTGTTGGAGCCTTTCAGAGCGCCTACAGGCCCCCCGTTCCCCAGGCTTCCCTTTGAAGCTTTAGGTCCACTCTCCGCAGGCCCAGCTGGTCACACACCCCAGGCAGCCGCAGTGTGACATGGCTCTCCCTCATCGTTTCTGGCAAATGTGCCGGAGAGAGGGCAGCGGGAACTTTGAGTCAGGTCACATAAAGGCAAGCCTCCAGAATAGTTTCCAGCAGGCTGTCCCACAGGTCAAATGGTGACAGCTCCCTGGGGGAGGCATGTGGGGCACCTGTAAAGCCATCTGGCCCCTTTGGTGTCTGCTAGGCTGCCGGTTTCACAGACACCACAGTCGCGAGGCTGTTGGTTTTCAAGGCTACTGTGGAGCCACCTACGGTGCTGGAGGAGGAGGGGTGCTTAGCACAAGTTCACACCACGTGAAGGCTGCTGTCCTTACCAAGGTTGAACCATTGTTCTTGAATAAATGCTCCTCACAATGTTGAGTCTTGAGTTAATTTCCAGAGTCCTGAAAAAGTGGCTGTTGACCATTTTTGGCAGTATTCTTGGTGCCTGCATGTAGGAGCAGATTTTCGGAGTTCTTTATTCTGCCACCCTAGAAGTGACCTGCCTGCTGGCGCTTCTTCAAGCAAGGACTCCTAACGAGACCCGTGCTGTGTGCGCTCTCGCCTGCTCTGTCTCACGTCCTCTCTCTCGTCTGTGTACTCGACGCCTTGAAGTGGCCCCAAGGGAGCGTTCAGGAGCACGGGTTACTGTGAACCAGTGGTCATGACTTTCCCTGTATTAGAAATGAGTCTCCACCTTTAGATGGGCAGCAGGTGTCAAGCCCTTGGCCCCGCAGACTGAAGATGATGCTGATTCGCCGGATCATTCTCTCATCTTGCCAGCAGAGTCTGTGTTTTGTACAGCTTTGTACAGTAGCCTGTGAAGAAGTAAATGCTTCATCCCCTGAGTTAGGTTCGGAGGACAAAATACTAACAGCAAAAATGATCATTTCCTCTGGGTTCTTGTGATTTGAAATTCATTTCAGCCAGAACATTAAGGTCTCTCTGTCAGACGTTATGGCCCTGGGGAACAGCTTGAGTTTTGTGTAAAAAATTTTTTTTAGTCTATGCACTTAAAATCTAAGTTTTTCTACATACTATAAATTTGAATTTCTCATATGACCAGAAGTGTTGAGTTATGGATATTGATTTTCTTATAGCCTTTTATTTCAGAGACAGTCAGTCTCCAATTGCATACGAAGAGATTAAAAAAAAAAAAAAAAAAAGAACTACAAGTCCCTTTGGTGAAAAGTAAAGAGATTCTGGTCTGGAAAACTATATGAATGCAGTTTACATTTTTTTTGTGGTTTATGTATTTGTGTATTTCTTCCCTACATGTTATATAATAATTTAACCAAGTCATCTCACACGTGCTATGAAATGATGGAATGACGGTTTTGAAATCTCAAAAAATAAAACTGGAAACATTTGCTTGTATTTTTTTTCCACCTCGCAGTGTTTTGTTAACGAGACATTTTATACTGCCATAAACTCAGGGTAATAATAAAGGTGTTGATTGATTTTTGGATGACAAGGGGCTTCTCTAATTGCAGAATTTGACATTTGTGTCACTTGCACTGCTGTAGGTGAGCAAGACGTGGAAGGTGATCGCGGAAGATGAGGTGCTGTGGTACCGGCTGTGCCAGCAGGAGGGCCACCTCCCCGCCAGCAGCATCTCCGACTACTCGTGCTGGAAGCTCATCTTCCAAGAGTGCCGAGCCAAGGAGCACATGTTAAGGACCAACTGGAAGGTAGGCGGTGGCCCCCATCATCCCCTGTACGGAAGACTAGCCTGCAAGGACTCGGGGATCCAGGCCCCAGATTACATCGGCGGTTCCCCCAGTTACAGCCCGAGGCGAACTGCCAAAAGCCGAGTGTGGTGAGCATACCGTCGGCCGCAGGTGACTCATTGCCCGTTTTGTTCACCATGAGAGCATCTGCCCCTCCTTTTCAGCCACACTGTGGGGGGGCGTCCGCTCTAGGAGAGGAGGGGTGGCACTGGGGTGCCGGTCCCTCCCCTCTGAGGGTTCGGGTCTTCGGAGTAGGGAGTAGTGCTCGGTGCCGTCCCCTCTGGCCTTCACCGACCCTGCCGCATCAACAAAGCAAAAGCACCACCTGAATACAGAAGTGGTGCTGAAAAGGCAATTTCCAGTAACTGTAAGGGAGGTTATTAAGCGCCTGAGTCCTGTCTTCTCTCCCCTCGCATAACCCACTGGCTTGCTTCCACAGCATTTATCACTTCAGAATCTCTACAGAAATATTAGATCACAGCTAAGAATTTGCACGGTGGAGTGTTTCTGTAGGAAATCACCGTCAGGAACAGCACTACCAAAAGCCGTTTTGAGGCCTGACGAGACCTCAGTGCGGCGGCGGCCCTTCCTACCTGGCCACTGGATGGGCCCTTGTATGGAAGGCATAGGGCCATATACACTCTCTCCACCCCTGTCAAGGGCAGTCCTAATAGACTCTGAGGTCCATAGGCTTTTGCTCCTCATTGGCGGTGACCTAATGCCTGTGTGCATGTCCATCCCCGGTCACCTCGTAACCTCACGAGTGGCCAATACTCTTGATCTGCGCAGACTCACACAGTTCTAGCCACGTTAACCAGAGTGGTGCTCCTCAGCCCCATGTTGGCGACATGGGGGGCCAGATAGTTTCCGGTGGGGGCCGTCCTGCGTGTGGCAGCATGTTGGGCCGCTTCCTTCACCTCTGCCCAGCAGGTGCCAGTAGCGTTCTCCCCCCGCCCCTCAACCGTGTGACAGCCACAGATGGCTTCAGGCGTGTCACGTGTTCCTTGGAAGGACAAAATGGCCCCTGGCTGAGAACTGCCTTTCCGAGAACGTGCACAGCTAACCTTCCGTAGACCATTAAGACAATACCACTAAACAAAAGGCACCCGGGCCCCACAGCTGTGTGCTCACCAGATAGTAACCTCGTGTGGAGGGCTTCCCCCCACCCCTGCCCCCAGCCCCCAGCCTTCACACCCATGTGCTCAGTTGGGCCTGCGTGAGGGAAGTCAGTGCAAGCCAGCTGTGCGGGTTTGACAGAGCCACTCAGACGAGCTGGGCCCGAGCCTGGCAGGGGGGCTGGAGTTAAGGGAGAGCTGGGGAGTTGGGCATGAACTGGGGGCGTTCCCTCTGGAAGGAGGGATATTTTGACTTGCGCACGTGGGAGCTGCAGTAGTCTGCATGCACCGGCTCGAATCCTGAGCTGTCAGACCCTGCGCCAGTGCGGTGGCTGTTTTCTGCTTCCTCTCTGGTGACAGAGAAGGCCGCAGGGGGAGGCGGGCACCTCCTCCTCCGGCTGCAGGTGGCAGCAGGGAAGGTGTGCAGAGCCCTGCTCCAAGCGTCGGGGCCCCCTTAACCGAGGCAGGCCACCTGCGATTGACTGGAATGTCTGGTTCCTTCTCTAGCAAGCATGTGGCCATTCGTTTGGTTAGCACTTGATAAACGGTTGTCGGGTCAGCGAACTGGAGTCGGGCTCTTTGGAGCGTCTCCGCCCCTTTGCTGGCCCTGCTGACAGTGAGGACTACGAAAGTGAAAGGGGGGACGGGGAATCCTGCACTAACTATGATGCTGGGGTTCTTCCTGTGATTCTAGAAAGAAAGCCCCATTGAAACATGAAAGTGGTTTTAGGCATTAGAGCAACTTACTCTCCCTTCGGATGCCCCTGTTTCCCCGCCCTGTACAGTGGGGCTGACGGTAGCCTGCTCACGGAGTAGTGGCGAGGGTGACTGGCTAACGCTCCTCCCGCCCAGCGAGGCCCGTGGCCGGCGTAGTGATCGCTATACAAGTGATTCAGAAGTCACCAGAGGGCATATGGTGGAAAGCCCTTCTGCCCCCCGCCACCTAGTCCCTCCTCAGGAAGCACGCCTGTCATGGGTTCTCTGGTTCCTTCACAAATACCGTTTCCACTAGCCTCCGACCCTGCCGTCGTCTTCCTTTCCGCATCCTGAGCTTTAGCTCTGTGTACGTGCTTCCTCATTGTACCCTCAGCGTTCACAAGGGTTGTTGACATGCAAAATATCATTAAATACCTTGTGTCCTCAGAACTGCGCTTTTTAAACAGACTGTATGTGTTTCTTCAGACGCGTGCCCCCGCCGGCCTATGGGTGCGCCCACCTCACCCTTGTAGCCTGTAGGCCCCTGAGCACAGGGCCATGCCGCCCCTGGTTCCGTGCTTCCTGCGTGGGGTAACTTGCAAATGCTGATACCTTAGCAGACTAGCTGTCCTCTTTGTCCTTTGACTTGGGGCACAGAACGTGCGTTAAGAAATGGCGGTGGAGCCTAGCCGAGAGCGAGGTGCTGCCTTCTGGGTGTCCCGAGAGTACGATCACCCATATCCCTTCTTCCACAGAATCGCAAAGGAGCCGTGAGCGAGCTGGAGCACATTCCTGATGCGGTTTTGTGCGACGTGCACTCCCACGACGGCGTTGTCATTGCCGGGTAAGCACAGCCGGTTCTCACGTGGGCACAGCTCTTCATCACGTGGGCCTTCTAGCTCTCGCGTGCCACCCTCTGGGTCCCGGTGACACGACCTTCCCCTGAGAGTTGTGCCTGCCCGCCTCGCAGACTCTAGGCTCCTGTTGCCTGGTCCTGGAGAGCGCGAAGCTGGCGGTGAGCGGCATACAGCGTGGCGCGGAGCTACGATGCATTCATCTCCATGTGTCTCTCCTGGCCTTTAAATCCCTCCTGTGGCCTGTTTGGTTCGGTTTTCATTAAGGCAAACTGTTGGTATTTGATGAAGACCTAAAAAAGTTGAGCACGAGTAATATGTGCTAGCACGCACAGAGCCCGTTCTGACGCTCCCGTCCTGAGGCCGCTACTCTGAGGAAGGGCCACGGCCACGCTTGATCGTCCCCCCTCCTCACCTCTCTGCACAGGGTATGCGTTTGCTGCTTCACTTGTCCTCAAAGAGGCTGGTTAGGGGTCTCCATCACCAAGGAATTGAATTCTGGCTTCTGTAAATTCCTATGGCTTGTGTCCCAAGAACCCCTTTCATGAATTCTTCCTATTTTACTACAGCAATGTGAAACAGTTTGTGTATTTCTTTAATGTATAGTGAGGAGACCCAATTTTATCTTTGGATGGACAGATACCGTATGTGGATCTTGAGAAACTTAACAGAAGACCATGGGGGAAGGGAAGGGGAAAAAATACTAACAGAGAGGGAGAGAGGCAAACCATAAGAGACTCCTAAATGCAGAGGACAAACTGAGGGTGGATGGGGGGTGAGGGAGAGGGGAGAGTGGGTGATGGGCACTGAGGAAGGCACTTGTTGCAATGAGCACTGGGTATTTTATGGAAGCCAATTTGACAATAAATTATATTAAAAATAAATAAAACATTTTAAAAACAAATTTTCAGGGGGTTAAAATGAATAAACATTAAAATAAAAAAAGAGAGAAGCAGTCTTGAACTGCAGTCTCAAATTGTATACTTAACATTCGAAGTAGAGACCAGGACACTTAAATCCCTGAGTCTGGATAGGCTTTGGGGTGAGTCCCTAGGAGAGGTTCCTACTTGGAGGAAACCAAAAACTAACCTTGGCCTGAAGAGCTTGGTAGTAGGTGAGTCTTTTTCTTTAAAGAGGACTCTTTCCTTTTTTTTTTTCCTTCCATTCTAAATGTTTATTCATTTAATTTGAAAGAGATAGAGCACAAGCAGGGGAGGGGCAGAGATAGAGGGAGACCCTGAGTCCAAAGCAGGCTCCAGGCTCTGAGCTGTCAGCAGAAAACTCAATGCAGGGCTTGAACACGCAAACGGTGACATCATGACCTGAGCTAAAGTCAGACGCTCAACTGACTGAGCCACCCAGGCGCTCCAAGAAGACTAACCCTAAGCATTCCTTGAAGGACACCATTTGAGTTGACACTCCAACAGATTAGTTTAATGTTCTGTGTCTAGAAAACATATTTTTGCTTTAAAAAAAATTTTTTTAATGTTTATTTATTTTTGAGGGAGAGAGAGAAAGAGTGTGAGTAGGGGAGGGGAAGAGAGAAAGGGAGAGACAGAATCTGAAGCAGGTTCCAGGCTGTCAGCACAGAGCCTGATGTGGGGCTTGAACTCATCAACTATGAGATCATGACCTGAGCTGAAGCTGGATGCTTAACCGACGGAGCCCCCCAGGCACCCCAAGTATCTTTGCCTTTAAACAAGATCTGCACAGGAGGAACACTGTCTCTTAGCTTTTGTTTTGCTGGCCACAATTTAGAAGTTAATGCCCTTGCTGTAAGTGCTGTAGAACGACTCTTTTTAGGAAGATGAATGGACCACAAATCTGGAAGTGCGGCTTTTGGCTTCTGTCTCTTGTTGCTGAAGCGTGGGCCGAAGAGCTCATGCTACGTAAGGTCCTTCCTCCCCGTAAATTCTAAGACCCCAAGGTAACTTGGAAAGGACCTCTGTCCTTCTAGCTTAAAGGGGTCTCCTGATATGTCAGGAGGCCTTTGAGGACAGAATATTGAGTTTGGACTGAGAGTCATAAAAGAAATTAGAGATAAAGGGGACTTTAATCTCAGAAGCCAAGTATGAATTTATCTCTGGACATGGACCTCACAAAGGCAGGCTGGCTGCGAGTCCAGATGCCAGCCCGCCCTCTCCTGCCTCTCCGTTCCCCCGAGGTCTGCTCAACATTACAGATGATGCCAGCACGACGCAAAGCGATGGCAGAGTTTTGTGGGTCGATAGGATGAAACGCGATCTGTAGGTCAGAGAGGCTCCTCCCGGCTCCTCTTCCTCAGAGAACCTTACGTTTATGGCCCAGCACTGGGCACTTGGGTCTTGCTTGTGTGCAGAGCTCGTGTTTATCATTAAAATTTTATCTGGTGGTTACGATGCTTGTTTTCTGGGTCAGATCTTGAATCCCTTTTCATTTGAGACGGCGGTGTTTGTGGTTACCTCACTCCCAATCAATGTTGTACTCGCCCGGCTTTGTGCGTCTCCCAGGAGCTGCGTGCAGAGATGCCAGCCGCTTCACCCTCGCTCTCCCCGCTCCTCGGCCGGCGTTTCTCTGATTTTGCTGCTTTTCCTTCTCTCCCTTTGGTCATAGGTGGAATTTGTTCAGAGGCTTAAGGTTTATGCACCTAGAGCTAACCTGTGTCACATCTTTGCCCTGAAACCTATTAAGTTTATTTCGTATAATTGACAGCAGAGGCTGTTACAAACCCTCCTGCTGCTTCCGTCTTTTCAAGCCTCCGTGTGAAAGTTTCTGGTTCGGAGTCGCGATGCTTAGGCCTAGAGTAATTTTCATTACACTTAGCCTTGCAGGCGACCCCGGCTTACGTCTCCCTTGCTCTGCCTTTCACTCGGAACCAGAGGAACCGTCAAGTATTCTTTCACTCAAGGCCACACGAGACCCAGACCTCCAATGAGCAGGGCCTGGACGATGCCTCTAACCCCAGGGTTGTCTTCCAGCAGAGTAAGCAGATGCTAGTCTCAGGGCTTTTGCTCTTTTGCTCTTTTTCCCACGAGTCTTTGCTTCCCTTACTATTTCCTAGATGGTCATCTCCAGTTCCCTTTTCCTGATGTTCTGAGCCCTTTAAAATTGGTTTCCAACCTACCTTTCTCCTGATTACTCTCCTCAGGGTAACTTAGGCTTTTCCCACAGTGTCCTGATTGCCTCTGACCATGTCTTCTTCATTTTTTAAGATTGAGATATAAATCATATACCATAAAATGAACCCTTTTAAATTGCAGAAGTCCATAATTTCTAGCATATTCCCAAGGCTGTGTAACCATCGACCAGAACATTTTCATCACCCTAAAAAGAACCCAGTCCCTAAGGCCCAACTCAAGTCTCCTCTTCTCCCACAGGCGTCTACAGCCCCCTGGCCTACTCACCCCCACTCCAATAGCTGCCCGCCTCCTGACTCCTGGGGAAGTGACTGTCTGCAGCATATAGCACAGCTTCACCTTGACGTTTTTGTTTTCTGCTGTGGCTTTACTTTGAAATAATTCACAGCCACGTATTTTCTGTACAGTTAATTTGTAAACATCTATTTATTTTTTTGTTTGTTTGTTTATTTAGAGAGAGAGGGAGGGAGAGAGAATCCAAAGCAGGCTCCGCACTGTCAACGCAGAACCTGACACGGGGCTCGAACTCACGTACTGTGAGATTGTGACCTGAGCTGAAACCAAGAGTCGGATGCTCAAATGACTAAGCCACCCAGACGTCCCTATAACCATCTTTTCTACAACTAGAGGTGGCATGTAAATGTCATTGACTGCTCCAGAGTGCATGTACGGCATTTTGTCTGAGGGAAGTATTACAGTTTCATGTACAGACCACGCTCGCACCTGTACACTACACGTTATGTGGTAAACTGCAGGAAATTCCCAATTTCTCTTGTCTGTTCTTTGATTTCTTAGTCTTTTCAGTTTAGAGTCATGTATTTCTTAAAAATTTTTTGTAATGTTTATTTTTGAGAGAGAGGAAGAGCGCAAGAGCACGAGCACGAATGGGGGAGGGGCAGAGAGCCAGGGAGACACAGAATCCAAAGCAGGCTCCAGGCTCTGAGCTGTCAGCACAGAGCCCGACGTGGGGCTCGAACCCACAAACCACGAGATCATGACCTGAGCCAAAGTCAGACGCCTAACCGACTGAGCCACCCAAGCGCCCTAGAATCATGTAGTTTTAAGTCCGGAAGGAACTGTTGAGGTTGACTGCTCCAAAGCACTTGTTTCCGGTGGCCAGCTGAGGCCGAGTGGTCTGGTGAGCTGGGACTGGCACGTGGGTGTGCCACTCTGCCCTTCCTCTGGGGTGTCCATGTGGAGAACCGGGCACCAGGGCTGCCTTCTTGAGCCCTCATTTGCTACTGTGACGGTGTGCACTACCAACCTTCTTTAAAAATTATAAAACACGTGCTTATTATAGAGCCTTTAAATTCCACAGATGTGTGTAGAATAAAGAATCACATGTCTTCCTTTATCCCCAGCCTTATATTTCCCTAGGCTAGAGTCCCATCTATGGAATTACTGGATTTAGGGGAATGAATTTGCACATTTTCCAGATTAAGAAATTATTTAAAAATATTTTTTGTATTTTTTTTATTTCAGAGAGACAGAGACAGTGCGAGTGGGGGAGAGGCAGAGAGAGAGGGAGGGAGAATCCCAAGCTGCAGGGCTCGAACCCATGAAACTGCGAGATCATAGCCTGAGCCAAAACCAAGAGCGGGACACTTAACCAACTCAGCCACCCAAGGGCCCCAAGAAGTTACTTTTATTTTTTTTTTTTTTTTTTTTTTTTTTTTTATTTTTTATTTTATTTCTAGGAGAGAGAGAGAGAGAGAGACAGCGTGAGCAGGGGAGGGTCAGAGAGAGAGGGAGACACAGACTCTGAAACAGGCTCCAGGCTCCGAGCTGGCAGTCAGCACAGAGCCCGACGCGGGGCTCGAACCCATGAACCGCGAGATCATGACCTAAGTGAAAGTCGGACACTTAACCGACTA